CTTTCATATCACTACGTCAAGCTTACCCTTGTGTACTTGCCCGTCCGGAGGAGTACTTTCAGCACTGCCTTTCAGGTAATCTTTACGACGTGTATTAGATGGGCTTGAACTGTTTAAGCGATCTTCGATGAAACTCAACGCGACTACAGTTTTGTCAATTGTTCAGTTATCACTACTCCTAGCTCTCTCCAATTCTTCTGGCCCTCTGGATCGATCTGGATGCATAATGGGACTTTGTACCGCTATAGATGGTTTTTGTTCTCTATTGTATTTATGTGTCTACCCCTTTGATTGTTTCAGTGACTCTTCATTAACCTCAAATTCTATACTAAATGCTTTTAATATTATGCTGGAATAAGAAGTGAGGATTATGGCGTTTATTTATCCCAAAGGATATGCTAGTATTTGGTTACAAGTCCGTAATGTTAGGAGTTTGTGAAACACAGTGATGTTCGTGAGGTGAAAATGTATCCTCTCGTTGGGACTATCATTGACATCTCATGCAACGTGGATTGAGAATATGGACTTTCTCTGTACGTTTTGCAGAAACCTTTCACGACAATGGAGAAGAACGGTGCTTTCAGCAAGATGTACCTCATAGTGCCGATGGTCCTTCTCGGTTTGTCCAGCATGGTCGGCGCCGTCGACATCATCTTCTATGGGGACAGTGGAGGTTGTCGCGGGTCCGGATACTCGTTCAATGGCGCCGGCAGACAAGTGTGCTGCATTGCAAACGGAGGCTCGGTGCTGTTTACAGATATGGACGGCTGCAAGACCAGCCTCGTCTACAGGAACGGCGGTTGCGACAGAGACTCGGTTGCCTCCGGCACGGGAAACAGATGCTACACCGGTGGAGGTTACACATCCGGCTACTGGTACCAGAGCTGCAGACGCCGCTCGCTGCTCGGTGACGCTCCTTCGGACATGACTAAGTGCGAGAGCAAAGCCAAGCCCACAGGTCTTGTGTTCACCGAGGATTCAACCAAAGGCACCTGGATTCTCAAATCCTCAAATGCTGTTGAACTATCGTCTCAGATCGAGAGTATGACCGATGCAGAGAAAGTAAACTGGTTCCAAGCCAACGGCGCAAGTTTCCACAACATCGCTGTTACAGAGACCGTGAACTTAAACTGAATCTAAGTTCTCAATGAGCCTCCATCTGTAGAACGGAGAGCTGTTTTCACGCATAAATGTCTGTCCCGAACGGATGATGATGGCGCCCCTGTAGTACACCTCCTGGTAGTCGTAGACGCGTTAGAATGAAGAAAAGTTAAACTTTCTGTAGTTGGCTTTCGAATTCAACGCTCTATGTCCTGTCTTCAAAGGAAGTAAGGCTATAGTTGCATATGATCTTACCGTATATACCTTGAATCTTGCTGCCGACTCAGCCTTGAGTGCCGCGCATATGTAAGGACATCAAGGAAATCGTTTGCTACATGCGAACTCCATGGAATAATGATCGAGAATCAATAATAATTTTATCTTTTTTTTAAACGTAGATGTTTGCATGCTGATTATTCACTCTCCAAGTCTGCTCTGAATTCAACGACGCTTTTGCATACATGGCTGATTAATGTGTGATTACATCCAGATAAGCCAAGTCCAAACCTAACAGTTTTCAGTAAATACTCCAGTGAAATAGCGTTTAACTGACGTATATGTGACACTTGTTCAGGGATTTACATGTATTCACATGATTACACACTGGAGTATTACATTATTTCCAAATCATGTAATACTCCAGTGAAATAGCGTTTAACTGACGTATATGTGACACCTGTTCAGGGAGTTTCCTTGTTCCAATAAATTACGTGTAAGTGATATAGAGCTGTTTCAGCAGCATGAAGATGAAGGAAAAGTGAGAAATTTTTTATTTTTGAGATTGTTTGCACTGAGCTATATAAAGACATTTTCTACTAGTGATATCTGCATCTCATCTGTCTGCGGCGACCCAGCAGCAAGAGCATACATTTCCTTCCCGTCCAGCTTCCACTGTTGTACGTGCACTTTCGAAGGTTTAGTTTCTGCAGTCATACTCACTTCATAATACCATATTGTATTCTCTGAGCTGTATCTGTACGAGCGATCCTCCATGTAATGCATCGGGATTCTAGCTTCAATAGTTGTTCCACTAAGAATGCTAGCACTTCCATTTCTCTGACCCTCGGCTTTCTACCGGTTTTGGCTGTCTTTTGTATTTCGATGTGTCTCTCCTTTCGATAGTTTCATACCATTGAACTTGATTACCTATAAAACCGAAGACTCTCTCGTACCAGACTTCAAACAAAGGAGGCTTATTGTAATTAACTTACAAAATATTTAACAATCAGTCCAAGATGTCAGAAGGTTGCCAAATACAGTAATATTACTGAATAGAAATGCTAGTGACATGTCGTATGTCGTGGTCGGAGAGTCTTGACATTTGCTGCATATGTTATGCAGAAACCGTCCGCGAAAATGGAGAAGAACGGTGAATTTAGCAAGATATACCTCATAGAGCCCATGGTCCTCCTCAGTTGTCCAGCATGGTTGGCGCCGTGGACATCATCATTTATCAGAACACTGGAGCTTGCACCGGGTCTGGAACTTCGTTCAATGGCATCGCCAAACAAGTCTGCTGCGTCGCAAATGGGGGTTCGGTCTTATTTAGAGATATGGACAGCTGCAAGACCAGCCTCGTCTACAAAAACGGTGGTTGCAACAGCGGCCAAGTAGGATCCGCCACGGGAAACATCTCCTACGTCGGCGGAGGCTTCACATCCGGCTACTGGTACCAGAGCTGCAGACGCCGCTCGGTGAGACTTTCTCAGACATGTCTAATTGCGTGGGCCAAGCCAAAGCCCACAGGTCTTGTGTTCACGTAGGACTCATCCAACGGCAGCTGGATCCTCAAATCGTCAAACGCAGCTGAATTGTCGTCTCAGATCGAGAGTATGACCGATGCAGAGAAAGTAAACTGGTTCCAAGCCAACGGTGCAAGTTTTGAGAACACCGCAGTTACCCAGAACGTGAACTTACACTCAATCTGAGGTGTCCTGCCAGCGTGCAGAGGATTTTGGGCGGAGAGCTGTTTGCACAAGGTGTCTGTCCCAATTGACCTTCCTGCTAGTCATAGACTCATTCAGCGTAATCTTTACGCTGCTTTTACGAGAGCCACTCTCTTTGATGTTGAGATTGAATTGAGGCTCTAGTTGCGAAAGAGTTTACCATGCACAGCTTGCATTTTGGTATTCTCTAGCGACTCAGCGTTGAGTGCCCGTCACCAATAGGGTTGATCAAGTGATTGCTTTGCTGATTGCAAAGCCCGCATAATTAAGAGCCATATCAATTACTAGTTTCATTCGTTTCTAAACTCAGAAGCATTATCTGCGAGATATAAGTTTCCAACTATGCTTCTTAATTCCACTATGGCTGCTATTTATATGGCTGGTTAATGTTTAGAAGATCACATCCAAAAATCGGAATTTGCTGAAAGTAAAATTAGACGTAATGGTCTGATAGACTATATTCCTGCTTCAATGTTAGTCCTTAGCTCATGATTCGAGTGAGATTCCACTTGAGTCAACTCACAGGTACTGTGTACGTGTAAAATTTTCAAGAAGGAGAATAACCAATTAAGGGCAGCTTGCGGTTACCTGAATTATTCAACATTTGTTCTCGAAAGCATCACAGCGGGTGTGTTGATCCACCCCTGCAGTCGATTTATGATTGCTATAATGCCTCGTCCTCTCGAGAGCATTATGTAGGAGAGAAACATCGATCAGCTGGCCTTCCCGAATGCACCTTGCATATTGATGTTTGCTTGTGAGCACTTCCACCAGAACTACTGTCTTCTTAGGTTTTTAGCGCTGTTGCTCAGCCCAAATTTCTCTGCACAGTTCCAATAAATTCGATGAAGGCAAGGTTTCTTATCTAGGGAGAACGAGAACTTGCATGGGTATGCATGGTTGTATCTACACTTCATCCTTCTATTATCTAAGTTACCGAAGAAGCTTAAAATGTCTTTATATATATCAACTTACTTCCTCCGCATCGATCGTTCTATATTATGGCCTTAGTTTACACATTACACCACTGCCAGTCAAATCTCGTGAAGCGTTCAATTTGACTTTACCTGGGGAGCAAGTCATTCGTCGCGGCCTAAACGCGTGGCCTGTGTCTTCAGCAACCACTAAGACGCAATAGAAGGTGTCTGTGAGGGGTCGTATCCGGATTGTCGAAAAGATTGCGCTCAAATTCTGGAGTTGTATATGACGAGAACTTTGGGGCTCGCGGCCATGAGACAACGTGGAGCAAGTAGGACAGCAAAGGCCTAGCTAGTACACTTGTAGCTTGTGGCAGTGCTCGGAGGATGAAGTAAGTCGTCGACTTCGGGGAGTCTCAAAGTTCCCCCCTCGAGGCAGTCAGGCTCCCAAAAGGGACGACTGCTACTTCTAGGGTAGTCAGCATGATTGATTTCGTTGTAGTGTACCAAATTTCTTTTCTAACGAACATCAAAAGGCAATTTGTATCGGGGAGAGTTATCATTTATTCTCGAATGCTTTCAACGATTCTCTCCTAAGTAATGTCCTCGAGACCACGAGGCATTATATTCAGGACAGGAGAATGCAAGGATCGACGTATGGCATGTTATGCTTTCATTAACTTCGATAATACGGTTTGTATGGACACTGTTGTCCTTAAAAACTGACAGCAGATATTGATTAAGTCTCTGTTCCCCTATTAGGTTGCAGCAAAATGCCCTCACTTCATTCATCTCATTAATGGATATCTCAAATGTCAGCGGTAGCTGTCAGCGATTTGCACTCTCACTCGAGTCAAGTGCGAAGGACTCACAGTAGATTGAGTGAAGCATAAATTAGACAATCGGGCGCGGAGTTTGCGTTTGTGCATGTAAAATTTTGATTCGAAGCAGTCATTGAATTCATAAGCATATAACGAAAATGATATATTTAGGATAGATTATATCCAAGTTAAAGCAACAACCATCAACTTATTTATTGATATCCCTCATTATTACATCGGCTTTGCAAGTAGCAAAGCATTTACTTGATCACCCTATTTGTTCAGGGCACTCAAGGCTGAGTTGCTAGGGGATATCAGAATGCAAGCTTTACTCACACAAAACACAAACAAAACTAGATCCTCACTGCATCGTCAGACACGATATACTGCGACAATCGTAAAGTATATGTAAAGATAGGTTCAACTTCTCTTCCCCCGAAAGGGTCTATGAGTACCAGGAAGTGCACTACTACAAGACCGTAATGAACACGACCTTCCTCATAGACACGAGACAGACATTTATTTGTGAAAACAGTTCTCCTGCCAAATCTCGCGAAATCTTGCTCGAGAATTCATCAGTTCAAGTCCACGTTCTGGGTAACAGAAGTGTTCTCAAAACTTGCACCGTTGGCTTTGAACCAATTGACTTTCTCTGCATCGGTCATATTCTCGACCTGAGACGACAATTCAACAGCATTTGAGGATTTGAGGATCCAGGAGCCTTTGGATGAATCCTCCGTGAAGACAAGACCTGTGGGCTTGGCTTGGCTCAAGCACTTAGTCATGTCTGAGGTAGCGTCATCGAGCAGCGAGCGGCGTCTGCAGCTCTGGTACCAGTAGCCGGATGTGAACCCTCCGCCGACGTAGCAGATGTTTCCAGTGGCAGAGCCGACTTGGTTATTGTTGCAACCGCCGTTTCTGTAGACGCGGCTGGTCTTGCAGCCGTCCATGTCTCGAAATAGAACCGATCCGCCGTTTGCGACGCAGCAAACTTGTCTGGCGATGCCATTGAACGAGTATCCGGACCCGGAACAAGCTCCAGTGTTCGAATAAAAGATGATGTCCACGGCATCAGCCATGGTGGAAAACCCGAAGAGGAACATGGGCACTAAGAGGTACATCTTGCTCAAAGCAGAGTTCTTCTCCATTTTTGTGGAAGTCTTCTGCAAAACATACAGCGAATATTCCATTTCTCAAAGTACGATATACGACATTTCACTTCCAGTCCCAAAAAGAGCATTCACGATTCGATCTAGTAGTATTACTGGATCGAATCACAATAATACTAATGTGGTTTGCAAGCTCCTGAGATTATGGACCGGTGATCAGATATTATTATAAATTTCTCGTGTAAAAAAACGCCATAATCTACACCTAATTTAACATGGAAGTAATTAAAAACCTGGCATTTGCTGTACCTGTATGCTTAGTAATAGAATCGATGTAAAGATTGAGGGATGATAAAGAACTATCTACACATTCGAAAGGGGGGACACATGAATTACAAAAGAGAGCACAAACTGTTTTGACTCTATGTTTTTACCCGCCGCATTGATAGCGGGATAAAGCTGAGGGGCCGAAGAAATGATGAGAAGTCGTCTCCCTAGCAATAACTGGAACAGTTTATTCAATAGTCTTTGTTCTGCGTAACATCGAACATAGCTCGTACAGTTCAATTTCAAAGAACACACGTAGTAAAAATTACACGAATGGCAGGAGATAGCATACCTTCGGAGGGGCACGTACAAAAGCGGAAGCTTGACGTAGTGAAATGAATGCTCCTGCTCGATACCGCAGATAGATGAGATGCAGAAATCAGAAGCAGAGAATGTCTTTATATAGCTGATTTGGAATGACTAGGTCTCCATCATTTCGGACCAGGATTGTGTCGGGACAAAGGTCAATGCCAGTCTTTTGGCATGTCAGGCGAGCCTGCAGATTCGTTGCCGATGACCTTTGCTTCTTCCAGCAATTAAGAAGCAGAATGTGACAGATCGCCGCGTCCTTCTGCTAAATAAAGATAACTTTTGTCTGGTGGACTATGAAGTCTTGACGTTTGTCGCTTTGGGGACAGTCAATAACTGCCCGCAAAAAAGCTGAAATGATTTGTCTTTTGTCTCAACCGAATCTTCTCAATTATCTGATTGGCAGAAGCCTTTTAACTGGGACATCTCGTCCACAAGACCAACCTTCTAAAACGATAACATTATTCGCTTTAACTATGCGGAGTAAAACCAAGTGAAAGTCAGTATAAGACAAAGCAGGATGGATCATGAGAATCACCAAGTTCGAGATACTGACTGTACTTCAGTGTTAAATTGCTCTATTTGTCGTACTTTCTTCGAATCTAGTGCAACCTACTGTGTTTCTGAAAAGTGTGCCTATGTTGTCCTGAGTATGTAGGAGGTCAAGTAAGGTCGGGGAGTTGATGCCAGGGGAACGAGTCCGACTTGACTGACCTCTCAGAATTTTTAAAATGCACTAGATTAGAGTATGTTTATTCAGGAAGTTGAACAAGGCAAGATCCTGAAATGAATAATAACTAAAGATTGATTCTGGAAGAACCATTCATTCAGATCATATTTGTTTACTCCTCTCTACTAGCTGCCTTCCAACCTTATGAGGAAAATTTGGTAGTCATAGTTGTAGAAAGGAAAAGCACATGTAGACGGTGAAGAATCGAATCAGAATCTAGAGGTGTGGAATCTCCTCCAAAATACAATATGGAAAATAAATAAAAGATCAATTCAGATATCACATAATAACATGGTGGTGTCTGGAAGAGATGATCATAGTCATTTTTCAACATCTTGTTCTCCAGCAAAGATTCGTGTATTTCTAAATTTCAAATATTAATGGTTGCATTATTTCAGAATAGAACGGCAAAAAGTGGAATTTTACTTGTTAAAGTAAGTCATGACGTGCACGGATGAACTTTAGTAACGACGTTGCAAAAAGTTATATTTTCCAAACATGCAATGATCTATACATTGAAATATACAAATATTGAAAAGGAAGATACAACCATACCTCAATGGGGTTCATCTAATAGACGCTGTTGTGAAAGTAACCTGCAAACCAAAGTAGACAGTAACATACCATTTGCAGTGCAAACCACGTCTAAAAGTAATGATCTGATAACACAATATCAAAAACTCTACTGGAGAACTCAGAATATACACTCCACTAGCTACGTTAACATTTCAGGTCTATCCAAATAACGAGTCCAGCGACTAATCTTTGGTTCAGTGATGACTTCAGGTTGCCTTCAGATTATTCAGTGATGTCTTCATCTTAGATCTAAATTCAAGCTTATATGAATTGGAAGTTTAAGTGTGGAGAGATGAAATTATAGAGTATGATTAAATAGTAGATACTTGTATAAAGGTCTAAATAATCATATGGATGGCTTGAAGCTGCACCCGAATAATACCCATGAAGAACGAGTCCTTGAAGTCCGATGTAGAGGACCCAAATCTCAAATTCCTGAGAACTTCAGTGTCCTCAAATTGTAGATACTTACAGGAGTACATCGAGGCAGGTTGCTCTTGTTGCAAGGGGATTATCTAAAAATGCATGTACAAAGATATTTCAAAAGCTGTTCAAATTTGCAAACCAGTACCTTGCACGTTTTTAAGTTGCTGCCTGCGTATGCTCTTGAGTCTTTTTGTAAGCCGTGCAACAGGCAAACGATATAAATGTGAAGACTTTTATTAGCAGTAAGTCTTTAGTCGTCACTGATCATGTAGCATGTCCATTTGTAGCATGCCAGGTCAAATCCTGCAGGCCAATGAGCAAGCGTTGTATTTTATACCAATTAGAATGTCGATACCCATGTGACGATACTTTATCGACTTACCAATCAGAAAAAGCTGTGCTTTTGAAGCTAGAAAGTAACTCGGACATTTATGTAACATTAATGTGGGAACCGTCTATGAAGACTGTCTGCTTCTTTCCCAATTAGCCTACGGATCAGACGAAAACGAGGTGAATGTACTCCGAAACGGAAAATACACCTTTTCTGTAGTCTGCACTCAGAATGCTCAATGCAAACAATCTCAAAAATAAAAAAGTTGTCACTTTTCCTTCATCTTCATGCTGCTGAAACAGCTCTATATCACTTACACGTAATATATTGGAACAAGGACAATCCCTGAACAAGTGTCACATATACGTCAGTTAAACGCTATTTCACTGGAGTATTACATAATGAGTACGCGGAGACTCCCCGTTGCAAGATATCATACAACACGTAAAGAACGCAGAAGCCAAGGTATCAGGCTGCCAGACACCTAACATGTAGCTTTGTGTGGTGATCAGCAGTTGAATCTAGTGACCGACCGAGAGCCAGAGCGAAGATTTTATTCTCAGTTATTGTCGACATGCTTGATCTCAGACCTTGCTGTGGTCAGTAGTAAGCTAACGATCAACTCAGGCTGCTAGCCTACCACAGCCAAACATCAATAACACTCGAGAGAAGGCTAATAGAACTCAAGTTTGAGCAGCATAGATTCAATACTCAGCAAGTTCCTCCCTGCCTTTGAAGATCGGATGTGGGGATCTCTCATTAGATGACGACGCGCATCCATTACGTTGTTTCGGTTGTTTTATGAATACTGGTTATCTGATATAATCCTAAAACCGAAGCAAGTATAAACGGACTCGACATTTTAGATTTCTTCGCTTTCAGCTAGTTCATCGCCCACACAACAGCAACACCTAACGGTCTGGTATCATTAGTAGTAATCCTTTGAAGAGAGAGAGAGAGAGAGAGAGATGTCGCTGGTAGTGGTTCAACCGTAAATAGAGCTAGAATATAGGACGATGCATGCGGACGAACTGAGCTCATATAAAGCTCTTATAAGCTTCTTCAGTAACTTGGATGAAGACATGGAGTCAAAACAGAGGGATGAAGTGCAGATATATCTATGCCTACCCATGATTCAAAACCTCTCGTTCGTATCAGATGATAAACCTTGCCTTTATCTAACTTATTTCCACAGTGCTTGGAAATTTTGCCTGGACAACAGCAATAGCAAACCCGAAGTGGGCATGTATTCTGATGGTAGTTAACAATTTATCTTCTCAACAAAAGATCAAAAGACAAGTTGTATTAGGAAATTCTTATGCTTCAATCTCGACTGTTATTAAGGGATTCTATCCTGTATAATGTCCTCTTCACAACGAGGCAATACAGTAAACACAGGCCAGTCCAGATATAAATATTAATATAAAGATATAAATATAAATATATATATATATATATATCTATATCTATTGAATATGCTCTCATTTACTTTACTGGTACAGTTTGTATCGATTGTACAAACTGGGAAAAAAGGTTAATTAATGCTTTGTATTATGTCATAAAGTCACACGATGAGCTTACTTGGCTGTTTTTCTCCCTGCGTATATCATATGTCAACAGTTGCTGTAAGCGATGTCCAGTGAAAGTGGACATCGCTTACAGCAATGTCCACTTTCACTGGAGTCAAGTGCGAAGTACTCACAGTGAAGAAAGAGATTTGCATAGAGAAAACTGTTAGGTTCGGACTTAGCTTATGTGGATGTTATCACACATTAATCGGCCATGTATGCAAAAGCGTCGTTGAATTCAGAGCAGACTTGGAGAGTGAATAATCAGCATGCAAACATCTACGTTTAAAAAAAAAGATAAAATTATTATTGATTCTCGATCATTATTCCATGGAGTTTGCAAGTAGCAAACGATTTCCTTGATGTCCTTACATATGCGCGGCACTCAAGGCTGAGTCGGCAGCAAGATTCAAGGTATATACGGTAAGATCATATGCAACTATAGCCTTACTTCCTTTGAAGACAGGACATAGAGCGTTGAATTCGAAAGCCAACTACAGAAAGTTTAACTTTTCTTCATTCTAACGCGTCTACGACTACCAGGAGGTGTACTACAGGGGCGCCATCATCATCCGTTCGGGACAGACATTTATGCGTGAAAACAGCTCTCCGTACTACAGATGGACGCTCATTGAGAACTTAGATTCAGTTTAAGTTCACGGTCTCTGTAACAGCGATGTTGTGGAAACTTGCGCCGTTGGCTTGGAACCAGTTTACTTTCTCTGCATCGGTCATACTCTCGATCTGAGACGATAGTTCAACAGCATTTGAGGATTTGAGAATCCAGGTGCCTTTGGTTGAGTCCTCGGTGAACACAAGACCTGTGGGCTTGGCTTTGCTCTCGCACTTAGTCATGTCCGAAGGAGCGTCACCGAGCAGCGAGCGGCGTCTGCAGCTCTGGTACCAGTAGCCGGATGTGTAACCTCCACCGGTGTAGCATCTGTTTCCCGTGCCGGAGGCAACCGAGTCTCTGTCGCAACCGCCGTTCCTGTAGACGAGGCTGGTCTTGCAGCCGTCCATATCTGTAAACAGCACCGAGCCTCCGTTTGCAATGCAGCAAACTTGTCTGTCGATGCCATTGAACGAGTATCCGGATCCGCGACAACCTCCACTGTCCCCATAGAAGATGATGTCGACGGCGCCGACCATGCTGGACAAACCGAGAAGGACCATCGGCACTATGAGGTACATCTTGCTGAAAGCACCGTTCTTCTCCATTGTCGTGAAAGGTTTCTGCAAAACGTACAGAGAAAGTCCATATTCTCAATCCACGTTGCATGAGATGTCAATGATAGTCCCAACGAGAGGATACATTTTCACCTCACGAACATCACTGTGTTTCACAAACTCCTAACTTTACGGACTTGTAACCAAATACTAGCATATTCTTTGGGATAAATAAACGCCATAATCCTCACTTCTTATTCCAGCATAATATTAAAAGCATTTAGTATAGAATTTGAGGTTAATGAAGAGTCACTGAAACAATCAAAGGGGTAGACACATAAATACAATAGAGAACAAAAACCATCTATAGCGGTACAAAGCACCATAATGCATCCAGATCGATCCAGAGGGCCAGAAGAATTGGAGAGAGCTAGGAGTCCTTAGTGATAACTGAACAATTGACAAAACTATAGTCGCGTTGAGTTTCATCGAAGATCGCTTAAACAGTTCAAGCCCATCTAATACACGTCGTAAAGATTACCTGAAAGGCAGTGCTGAAAGTACTCCTCCGGACGGGCAAGTACACAAGGGTAAGCTTGACGTAGTGATATGAAAGCTCTTGGACGATCACCGAAGACAGATGAGATGCAGAAATCAGAAGAAGGGAATGGCTTTATATAGCCGATTCGGAAGGACTAGATCTCCCTCTTTGAAGACCAGGATTGTGTCTGCACTGAGGTCAATGCTGGTCTTGTGACTGCAGAGGTCATTCCTGCTGGTGGGTCCAGACTCTGACCGGTTGAACAGTGTTCTGTGCCTTTAACCAATAAAAAAGGCATATAAAAGGCAGATAAAAGAAGAAGAACGGTGTGGTGTGCCTTTAACCAATTAAAAAAGGCAGATAAAAAGCAGATAAAAAAGGCATATAAAAGATCGCCGCATACTTTTATTACTTTTATCTAAATTTTGTTTTTTGCGATACCAATTTTGCGGTTTATAGACGACAGTAAAGGACACTCTCCTCGACTAACTGTTGTGCTTTGAATACAAAATACAGCTTCAACTTTGATAATCGTAATGAGAGAATTATTCTCCTCCGTGGTCGAGGGTCGTAGATAGGATGTACCTTCTAGTGTGACGAGCTTTCTCTCCCTAGTTCTATCGAGAAATATCTCCAGTCTTCTGGATAATGTCTCCTTGAATTTGAGATACGTTTTTCATTCTCCACTGCTTATTCATTACTTATTCATTATTGCTGCCTAACGTGGTGAATTGCGATTACAGACTCAGATGGTTACAAAAGTGTTTTTCAGTGTCAGTGTGTGAATATGATTACTTATTGTTAATGACCGTATCTTAAGGTTTGACCAGGCCAGCTCACAACCCGTAGCAACTCGGATGGAATTCGAAGAGAATATACTACGAGCTCATGAATGTGCAGCTCTTCACTTGCTTCACCGCAACATATGTCTCGCTGGTTCTCAATTATCACAAAAATACCGCGTTGCAAGAAGGGGCCATAGTTATGAAAACTCTTGAGAAGATCCTGCAAATGCTTTACTTCGGAAACACGACACAGGAAGAGTCAATCTTCCCGTTAGTTGTCCAATGCATTCCGTCCAGCTGCGTTCATGTCTCGTAGTGCTTTCAAGAAATGGTAATTTCCAGTTCAGCTGAGTCAAGATCTCGACATTAAGAGGAGAAAAAGTCGTGATTGATTGAACTCAAGGTTTATAATTCTTCTCCTTCTGCTTGAAGACCCACGCCGTCACGTGGCTCAAGTCTAGACACAGTATGCTCTCCGCAGCCTCTCATTTCACAAGGAAGCTTTCCGGCCGTGAACAATGTGGCCAGGAATGAGGATTCGACTATGAAGTGAAGCAGTGGTGAACAACTTTTTTCATACCAGTAGAACAACTGGATCATTCCTGAGGATCTCTATATTTCGATCCTTGATCCCTTTTCTGACTGGAAATCAGTCGTCTGCGGCCATCGGTTCGTGAGCGTAGTAGCACAGCGCTACGATGATACCTCTTCCTTTGTAAATTTTTTCTGGCCATGCTACTTTCGCCAAATACAATCAGATCTGTCAAAGCTCCCGGTCCTCAGTAGCAGTTGGACACAAAGTATCTCTAACTGAGACACGATTCCTTTCTGTCCATGATTCTTGAACTAACCCGATTCTTCTCACATTATCCTATTCACTATTTGATAATGGAGACCGATATCCCTACGCGATGATCCAGAGAGAGGCATCCTCTGAGCTGAAAAAGGACGAGGTCCATTTGCGCTTGTGGTAATGAAGGGGTAGTCGCTTTCGGCATGGACTAAGAGTCACCGTTGAAAGGCTCAGGAAGCTTTAGGAAGCTTTGGTCATACGCCTCGGCGCGTGCGAATATCTGGACCTTGTGGGACCCCTGAATCATTCATTCATCCTTGCATTTCCTTGAACTCAGAACTCCTGCTCTGAGGAGCAGACGTTCCACAACGTCTGTGGGACGTTTTGTTCTTCGGCCGTAATAGGCACGTGTACATGTTGCATATGCTGCTGACATTTGTATCAGTTGTGTCCACAGAAAACCAAGGAGTAGATTGCCGTGATAGTAACCATGACACACGCCTTTTCCACCCCAACCAGCTCGACTGCTCCACGAATGTGAGATACGCGCGTCGATTGGGAAGAACTCTGAGAGATATGCTGAGAACATTCCATGCTAATTCCATGCAAGTATAGCCCATTTTCCACTAAAATATTGGACTCGTACGATTTGACGTACTCCTGCATGTTCTAAAGAAATGTACTTGACGGATAAGATAAGGACACCACTGACGTTCTCAATCTGTTTTCCTCGATGGAAAGGCACGTTGGTAGCCTCAGTTTCTGCATAGTTAGCCTAACGTCGCCGTGGTAAATAAGCCAGAAACGTCGCCGTGGTAAATAAGTGTTTACAAACTTCATAGAAGACGTCAATTTCTTCTTGTATATTTGGACAGTGAAGGAGTCTGTCTGACGATGGGAGGTCGTTCACATTGTATTATCCACCCTCGACCATGAATGGACCCTCTAAGATCTCACTGAGTTGGAATCGATTTGTTCCCATTATATTACGATCGCATAACTCCTCGATTGCTCACCACTCATCAAAAGTGGTGAGCAATCGAGGTAAGTTCACCGTTCTAGAAGGGACTGTCAGTACTAAATCGAGACCAATCTTCAATGCCAGAATCGATGATTTGAATTACCTCTTATGGATTCGTTTGGGAACAATTCTTGACAGACAGACTGAGGTATGGGTGTCATGCCAAAGCCTCTGTGCATTCTGGTGAATTCAAGCTGGGATATTTTATTTGGAGTGCCTTTGAAGCTTGTACTGCAGTGTGCGTTAAATTAAAGTGCAAGTTGCAATCAATCTCAAAATGGAAGAAGAAACAGGTCTTACACCTGTAGCAGCAACCATAATCATCATCGACTGATGCAGAATGACAATTTGTTAAAGGCACGTGATGGAATTTAAGCAAGCAGGACAGAAACAAGAAGTATGCGAGGACTTAACGAACAAAACTTCCTCTGAATGTCATCATGGCTGGAAATTGTTAATGTTCCAGACCTGAATTTCTGAATTACACAAGCTATTGACTGCAGATGACGTCGAAGATGATCACAGAAATATGACGTGATCTTTAAGAGACGCACACAGAGTCCACAAATGATCATGTAGTCTCCCTCTACTACACTTTTGAAGAGCATGTGCGTGATCTTTCAGAGACGCACACAGAGTCCACAAATGATCACGTAGTCTCCCTCTACTGCACTTTTCAAGAGGATGTGATCGACAGCTGCGTACTCCTTTTGCCAATTCTTCCACGCAGCCTACATACAGGATGGTTAATTTGAGGTAGGCCCACCTCGATCACAGTCTCGACACAGAGTCCATGCCGTTACGACAATGTGTTCTACTCACCAGGTCTCAGGGCCGGATCCCCTCGTAACTCATGAACGTGCCATCCTAAAGTCGAGAAAGATCAGTTGTCTGAAGAAACCCTGCGATGGTTAGGGGATGGGAAGTCTAATCTACTGCGCTGTGACTAACCCCATGTGTATTGCTTGAGAAATCAGCCCTTAGATTCTATCCACCCTGCGAGAAATGTTTTCAATTCACGTACATGTCCAAGCCTTTGGTGCCTTTTCAGCCATACCGTTACATTCGACTGCACATTCTGAAGGACAGTGGAAGATGTGAGAAGTGGAAACTGAATATGAAAATTGGTCTAATGGGAAGCAAGGGGCAATATGCTATGCATCAGAACTGAGATGCTGTGGCGTAAGCCTGCTCTTTGATGCGAATATTATCAATTCCTATCCAAGAATTTTACCCATATCCACAAGGCAGAATAAACATATTTAGACGTACGATCATCCGTACGACCATCCAACTCCCATGCTTTTCCAATCCCCGTTTTCGCCTCCGTGCTTCTTTTTGCACTTCCTTTTCCGGATGCCCAGCATCACTTCCACTTGCCGATTAGGGGTACTTCAAGACATAGTGCAATGGAAGATCCCCTTCCGCAGTCAATAATATGTAAAGGCTAGTTACTTCAGTATATCAAAATCAGTAGATAACTTTTCCACGCAGTGACTTTAGACTGCTTTTCCTCTTTATCTCTTATGATGAGATCAAGCTATCACTCTGTCAGCCCCTGCATAATGGTAGTCCTTACGACTTACATCTCCCATCCCCAAAGAATTTATATTACCTTAAACCTGAAATTAAATTTTCTTTCCTTTCGTATTTTAGCTTGAGTTCCAAAATCTAGTCGTGTTAGAGGTTCACTGAACGACCACATCGTTTCAGTGGTCTAAATCAGCGAATCCCATATCGAGTGACAATAAACTAATTTGAGGAAAGATTTTTTTCTGTCTATATTTGTTCTTGAGGATGCCGTGTCAAGAGATTACAATACTTTGCTCTATCTTCTTCTCGGTGCTGTCTATACCACCCGATCAGTCAGCAATTGATTTCTTCCTTTCCAGACTTCGTCGAGTCCTTTGACCAAGTCACCTGAGTGTGCAGGCCAGGGTCTGACGAGACACAATATAAGTACCTATAGTAACGTGTGTATTCTTCATCAATTCCTTCACTAGTATGCAACTCAGAGCGGACTTGAGAAAAGAGTTCACTGCAGTAGATCTTCAACAGAAACAGACGGCAGTTCATCACTTTGCCTCTTTCGTCCCCCGCACGTAGATCTGCTTATCTTGGATCAGGTGACAATCCATACTCAGTATAACGCTCCAGATTCATTGAAAGTTGTCCCAAATATATCGTGCTTAGTGAAAGCTTGACATAGTATTGTGGGTTCTGTTCTTTGTTTGTTACAGACAGCATTTCTTCTCAGCAACAAATCAGACATGTCTCCATTAGCGATTTCCAATCGGATCGCTTGTCTCGAACATATCATGCATCCATCTGGCTCTATTAAGTGCATTACAGCTTACTACTTAATAGTTCCAAACGCCAAATGTGCCTTCGTGCTAACGTTCAGGTTGACAATGTTGTTTGCAGGATTCTTCGATAAAAATGGAGAAACTCAATTCCAAGGGTAGCATGTACGTCCTACTGCCCGTGGTCCTCCTCAGCTTGTCAAGCA